TCAGGGAAACACAGCTCAAGCACTCTTGAGAGATGACCACCCAGATGATAAGAGAGCCCACCTTGGCTTCCAAGTCCTTGGCTGACCTCTGGAGACTTCTCAGCTTGTCACATAAAGGGACTCTGGAGGCCACCTAGTCCACCCACAGCCCTTTCAGGGAAATACAGTTCAAGCACTCTTGAGAGATGACCATCCAGACATGTCCTGAAGGCCTCCAAAGGTGGAGAGTCCAATCTATGGTGGGTTTGAGTTCTGGTCTGGGTCCCATGATCTTCCAATGAGGGATCCACACACCTCTTCCTCCTTCCCCTCTGCAGGCGGGCGCATTGACCACGGCCACCATGAGGGCAAGGCCAAGCAGGCCCTGCACGAAGCCGTGGAGATGGACCGGGCCATTGGCTTGGCCGACCGCATGACCTCCACCCAGGACACCCTGACCGTGGTGACCGCTGATCACTCCCACGTCTTCACCTTTGGGGGATACACTCCCCGTGGAAACACCATCTTTGGTAAGGGCCGAGGTGTGGCCTGAAGGTCCGGCCAGTGAGAGGCCTGGTCTGGGAGGTTGTGATGGACGGGCGGACGGAGGAATGGACGAAGGGGTGGACGGAGGTCAGTGGCAGGGAATGGAGCCGCTGGGTTGGCCTTTCTCACTAGTGTCGCCTTCCACGAGAGCTGGAGATGGCTTTCTCTTCTAGTTGATGTCCTCCTACAGCTCTTCTTCCATTTCTTCTCCTCTTCCTCCTCTTCTCCCATCTCCTTCTTCTTCCATCTCCTCCTTCGCTTTTCGATTCCTCATTTTGGTATTCTTCCTCTTCTACCTCCTTACTGTTCTTCCACCACTGCCCTCTTCTTCTCTTTCTCCTTTTCCTCCTGCCTTTCCCATTACCTCCCTCCTCGTTCTTCTTCCACTTCTTCATCTCCTTCCCCTTCCTCTTCTTCCTTTCCTATTTCTCCTTCCCTTCTTCCACCTTTCTCCTCCCTTTCTCCTCAGGCCTGGCCCCGAAGGACAGCGACGTGGACAAGAAGCCCTTCACCTCTATCCTCTACGGCAACGGACCCGGGTTTCGCATCGTGGACGGAGAGAGGGAGAACGTCTCCGCCACTAATTTCAGTGAGTAGCCAAAGGCCAGGACCCCCTCTTTTGGACGAGTAGGCAAATAAACAAATACATAGTAGCAGCCTTTACGCTGGAGCTTTCTCACACAAGCCTTCTCTCATAACAGGACTTCCTCATATTGTGAGGCCTACCACACAGAGAAGCCTCCTCACACAGACTGGGGAGTTCCCTCACTGAGGCAAACGCACACGAACCAGCTTCAGTCTACTCACTCTCCTCAGGACAACACTAGCTTTGGCCCACTGACTCGTAACAGGCTTCGGCCTACTCACTCTTTCAGTGCTTGACTCACACTTTTGTCATCAAAAATACCCAGTTAATGTTTAATATTTCTGACAGGCCACGCCGCGGTGGCTGCTTCCAGCACCTTCTGCTTCTTCTCGAAAATGTTGTTGTCAGCTTTTCAAACAACAAATAGGTTTCCGTAACACAAATAAACAAATACACAGTAGTTTTACATGCAGCAGCCTTCACACTGGAGCTTTCTCACACAAGGCTTCTCTCACACAGAGGTTCACCTCACACTACTCAGGATGACACCAGCTTTGGCACAATGACTCTAACAGGCTTTGGCCTACTCACTCTTTTTTTTGTAGTAAAATAATATGGTTGCACTATTTACAAGAACTAGGTTTCCATAACATAAATAAACAAATACACAGTAGCTTTACATGCAGCAGCCTTCACACTGGAACTTTCTCACACGAGGCTTCTCTCACACTGGAGCTTTCTCACATGAGGCTTCTCTTACACTGGAGCTTTCTCACACGAGGCTTCTCTCACACTGGAGCTTTCCCACATGAGGATTCTCTCATACTGGAGCTTTCTCACACGAGGCTTCTCTCACACTGAGGTTTGCATCACACTCCTCGGGAGTGTGACTAACTTTGGCGCTATGACTAACAAGTATTGTCGAAGGCCTCTAGAACATGCACTATTTACAAGAACTAGGTTTCCATAACAAAAATAAACAAATACATAGTAGCTTTATATGCAGCAGCCTTCACACTGGAGCTTTCTGACACGAGGCTTCTCTCACACTGGAGCCTTCTCACATGAGGCTTCTCTCACACTGGAGCTTTCTCACACGAGGCTTCTCTCACACTGGAGCTTTCTCACATGGGGCTTCTCTCACACTGGAGCTTTCTCACACGAGGCTTCTCTCACTGGAGCTTTCTCACACGAGGCTTCTCTCACACTGGAGCTTTCTCACATGAGGCTTCTCTCACACTGGAGTTTTCTCACACTGAGGTTTACCTCACGCTCCTCAGAATGAGACTAGCTTTGGCCTACTGACTCTTAACAGGCTTTGACACACGTGACCTGACATAGCCTGCAGTGGCCTTTTGAGGTGTGCACCCCATTGCCTCCTTCCCCCTCCTGCCTTTTTCTGCTCCAACCTCTCCTCCTCCTCTTCTTCCGCAGCCGATGCCAACTACCAGGCCCAGTCGGCGGTCCCCTTGCGCATGGAGACGCACGGCGGGGAGGACGTGGCCATCTTTGCCAAGGGCCCCATGGCGCACCTGCTGCACGGCGTCCATGAGCAGAACTACATCCCGCACGTCATGGCCTTTGCCGCCTGCATCGGGGAGAACAGGGACCACTGCCGGTCGGGGGCCCCTCCGCGCGGCCCCTGGGGGACCCTGCATGCCTCCGCTCTGGCCCTTCTCCTGGCTCGCGGCCTCTTCTGACGGCGCAGCTGCCCGGGCACAAACGGGGGGCCGGTTGGGAGCTGGTCCGCTTTCCAAAAAGACCTGAACCTCGGTTCCCCTTCTGCTCCAAAACTTGTAACTGACCCCAACCAACTCCACCGGCCTCTTTGCCAAAGGCGAGGCCGTTTGCCCAAACAACAGCTGGAAGCACCTGTTGCCGGGATGGAAAGCTGGCCTTCGGGCATTCCAGGATCCGTGCCAAGCCAAACTTTGGATGCTTGGGGATGTTTCCCCCGATAAGAGCAGGTTTGGCTCCGCTCTGCAGGGATGGCGCTGGAACGTTTCTCCCCCGACGCTTCCCGATGATGGGACACTCCGGCTTGTGGTCTCCAAACAACGGAAGCAAAGAAGATGGATGGGCGCGCGGGTGGTCTCCCTCTCTTCCTTCTCCTGGTTGCGTTTCGCAGGCCAAGAACTCATTTGTGTACAAAAGAACCCAACTCTGCCACTTATTGATCTCCTTAGAAATATCAGCCTTAATTCATGCACTCAGGAAGGAAAGAAGGAAGGAACTAAAGAAGGAAGAGGGGAGGAGAGCAGGCTGGAAGGAAGGAAGGAAGGAAGGAAGGTGGGCAGAGAGGAAGATAGAGAGATTGATACATACATAGGAAGGCAGGAAGATAGATAGATAGATAGATAGATAGATAGATAGATAGATAGATAGATAGATAGATAGATAGATAGATAGATAGATAGCAAGATGGATGGATGGATGGATGGATGGAGAGGAAGATAGAGAGATTGATACATACATAGGAAGGCAGGAAGATAGATAGATTATAGATAGATAGATAGATAGATAGATAGATAGATAGATAGATAGATAGATAGATAGATGGATGGGTAGATAGATAAATAGACAAACGGATGGACGGACGGATGGATGGATGGATGGAGGAAAGGATTGATAGATAGATGATACGACAAGACAGACAAATGAATTGCTTGATGGATTGATGGAAGATAGATAGATAGATAGATAGATAGATAGATAGATAGATAGATAGATAGATAGATTTTATTGGATGGATGGATAGGATGGATGGATGGATGGATGGATGGAGAGATAGATAGATAGATAGATAGATAGATAGATAGATAGATAGATAGATAGATAGATAGATAGACAGATATGAAGAGTATGGATGGACAAAGATAGATAAGATAGATAGATAGATAGATAGATAGATAGATAGATAGATAGATAGATAGATAGATAGATAGATAGATAGATAGATAGATAGATAGATAGAGGGATGGAGGGATAGATAGATAGATAGATAGATAGATAGATAGATAGATAGACAGACAGACAGACAGACAGACAGACAGACAGACAGACAGACAGGAAGATGGAGGGATGGATGGATGGAGAGATAGATAGGAAGATAGATAAGAGAGAAAGTGAGAGATAGGAAGATAGGAACATCGATAAGATAGATGGCTGGATGGAGAGATAGGAAGAAAGATAGATAGATAGATAGATAGATAGATAGATAGATAGATAGATAGATAGATAGATAGATAGATAGATAGATATAGAGAGGCTCAAGTGTTTGCAGCATGGGTTACTTTGACATAGTTCTGCACTTTTGCAATGTTTTGGAGGCCTGTTTTGGATTTCCTTCTGAAGAGGCCGAATTCAGGGCCGAAGGGGAGAGTCCTGCCTTTGCTTCACATTGAATGCCTTTGGCCGGCCTCTTTCTCACACTTCTGCGGTGGAGGGGAAAACAATCGCGAGCTTATTCGGGAAGGGAAATAAAGGCAATCTTTGGCTGAACCGATGCTCCCGACAGTTTGTTCCTTTGGGAAAGCAATGTGTGGCATGTCCTTGTCAGTCGGCTATCCCAATGCTTCCCCTGCCTTCCCACTTTCCCCACCTGGGTGTCAAAGGTCCCGGTTTCTCTTTCCTCTTCCGCCTTTGTCCTCAGATGACTTTGATTGCTGCAAACGGAGCAGAACAATTTGCGTAACGGAGAGGAGGGGGAAATCTTGTCCTTTCCCAGATTAGGCCTTTTTTCCAGCTTATTCATTAATATTTGAAGTATTGGAGGGTCGGGCGGTTCTTGTTTTGCTTTCCAGGTGGGGAAATGTGTTATCATTTTTGTGCAATTGGAAGGACAAACACTCAAGGAGTGTCTTGACCTGAAACTGAAAGGGAAGACCTGTCCTTCTGCTTCTCCTTGTTGTTATTGTAAAGCAACCCAGACTCACTCTTCCGTGTGATTGATTTCCTTGTTTGTCCGCTGTCGCATGCCTGGCTGAGCAGCAGAACGAGCGTTATTGTGTCGGGAAACGGCCAGAGGGATCCTCTTCTTGGAAGTCATGACGGACGGAGAATGGGGAAGAAGAGACCTCTGTTCCAAGGCTCCTGCTCCTTCCCACAAAGTCATTTCCTCATCTGAATGAGGAAGAGAGGAGCCAGGAAAACCACACAAAACTCTAGTGATTCGGGACAGATGCAGGAGAAACATCAGGAGAAAATGCTGCTAGAATCCTTCCCGAGACATGCCTTCCCCACAAGAAAAGCAGCATCGCTTTAGCGCTTCGAACTGGGATGGGGAGGTGTTTGCTGGCCCTGGATTGCAACACCAGAACCAAGACGAATGCCACCCGGGCACAGGAAGCCTCCGAGCAGCAAGCAACCAAGGGCCGCCTGTTAGGAATGGTGGGAGTTGAAGTCCAAAACACTTGGAGGGAGGGCCAAAGTTTGCCCATGCCTGTGCTAATGGGTGTATCCCACTCAAACACGTTGGCCACACAACACTCTAGTTATTCGGGACATATGCAGGAGAAAATGTTGCTAGAACACATTTCTCAAAGTGCTAGGTGGGCAGGAGCTGGGCTGAAGGTCAGGAGCTCACCCTGACCTGGCTTTGAACTGTCAACCTTTCGGTTGCCATTTGTTCAATCCCTCTGTTTGCTGTGTGCCATAGGAAAGGGTTAAGGGAGAGGCAGTGGGCAAATTCCACACCAATGGGGAGAGAGAGGAACACTGGGATGTGGCACCCGCTGTAACCTGCAATGTACATTGGAGGGAGTCCTCAGCACTGTTTGTGGAGGCGAGAGGCTGTCTGTGTCAGTGGACACCTCCACCACGTATACACACACATTTGCACTTCTATTATGTGTATAGATATATAGATTATTATTATTATTATTATTATTATTATTATTATTATTATTATTATCCCACTTTCCCAGGACCTCCCTTTTGCCAAGAGCTTGCAAGCATCCCTGTCTCTGCAGCACTGAACAATGGGATATTTTGGGACCGGGAGATGTGCAAAGCAATAAAAGGGGAGCTGCCTGGCGATGAAACAGAGGAGGAGGGCGCCTTGGGTCCCCGCTGTTTGCTTTCCTTCCTTCGGACGGACACTTCTGGGCTTAATTTAGCCACCTTTGACCACTGCCGCCACGGAGTCAACAGGCTTCGGCCCACAAAGCGCTGCAAAACTGCGGGGAAACACAAAGGCCCTTTAGTCCTCCGGCAGCAAAACCCAAACATGGTCCCAAAATATCCCGACTCGAGGGAAGGACCCGTCATCGTCGTTCGGTGCTGCAGGGACTGGGATGCTGGGAAGACCTGAAGCCTCCTTGTCCTCAAAGGACAATGATCAACAGAAGCGGGAAAGGAAGACGTCCAAGGAGAAGCCAGGGCGGTGGCTTCACCTATTAAAAAGAGATCCAAGGCCATGCCACAGCAACAGGGCACGGCGGTCAAGGGGCCCAGGGATGGAGAGGAGGATAGACCGCCCATCGTCCCATGAATGGAGAGAGAGTTGGGAAGAGCTCCCTTAATAGAGGGTGAAATGATGGAGGAAATGGAGAAAGGCTTTCCAGAAGATGAGGGCGGGTTACAGAATAATAATAATAGTAATAATAATAATAATAATAATAATCCATTTAATGTTATGCACTGGGTTCCCCCTCCAAAGAGGATCCCTGGAGGGCAATTACATTACAGTCTCGCTTATCTGACCTTTGTTTATCCAACATTGCGTCTAATCCGACGCTCTTATCCGATGGCCCCTTTTCCTCCAGCATTTTCCCCTCAATTAAAGGAGCACTTCCCAACTCTCTCTCCATTCATAATAGAGTCCCGCTTATCCGACTTTCGCTGATCCGACATTTTGTCTTACCCGACACTCTTATCCGACAGCCCCTTTTCCTCCAGCATTTTCCCCTCAATTAAAGGAGCGCTTCCCAACTCTCTCTCCATTCATAATAGTCTCTCTTATCCGACTTTCGCTGATCCGACATTCCGTCTTACCAGACGCGCTTATCCGACAGCTCCTTTTCTTCCAGCATTTTCCCCTCAATTAAAGGAGCGCTTCCCAACTCTCTCTCCATTCATAATAGAGTCTCGCTTATCCGACCTTCGCTTTTCTGACATTTTGTCTTATCCGACGGCCCCTTTTCCTCCAGCATTTTCCCTCAATTAAAGAAGCATTCCCAACTCTCTCCATTCATAATAGTCTCGCTTATCTGACTTTCGCTTATCCGATATTCCGTCTTACCCGACGCTCTTATCCGATGGCCCCTTTTCCTCCTGCATTTCCCCCCCAGTTAAAGGAACGCTTCCCAACTCTCTCTCCATTCATAATAGAGTCTCACTTATCCGACATTCCATCTTATCTGATGCTCTTATCCGACGACCCTTTTTCCTCCAGCACTTTTCCCTCAATTAAAGGAGTGCTTCCCAACTCTCTCTCCATTCATAATAGAGTCTCGCTTATCCGACCTTCGCTTATCCGACATTCTGTCTTACCTGACGCTCTTATCTGATGGCCCCTTTTCCTCCTGTATATTTTCCCCTCAATTAAAGGAGTGTACCCAACTCTCTCCATTCATAATAGAGTCTCGCTTATCCGACCTTCGCTTATCCAATATTGTCTTACCCGACACTCTTCTCCGACGGCCCCTTTTCCTCCAGCATTTTCGCCTCAATTAAAGGAGGGTACCCAACTCTCTCTCCATTCATAATAGAGTCTCACGTATCCGATCTTCACTTATCTGACTTTCACTTATCCGACATTCCGTCTTATTCGATGCTCTTATCCGAAGGCCCCTTTTCCTCCATCATTTCACCCTCTATTAAGGGAGCACTTCCCAACTTTCTCTCCATTCATAATAGAGTCTCGCTTATCCAACCTTCGCTTATCCGACATTCCGTCTTATCTGAAGCTCTTATCCTGTATTCTGCCCCTGAATGTCAATCTTTCAAGACATAAAGGCCTTAGTTACGCTCATGAGGACTGAAAGATACAAAATGGGTGACACCTGGCTCAACAACAGCCCCTGTGAGAAAGGTCTCGGAGTCTTCGTGGACAGGAAATTGAACATGAGCCAAGCAGCTCAAAAAGCCAACGGGATTCTGGTCTGCAAAGATTTTAGTGTCCAGACTGAGGAAAGTCATGGTGCTGCTGTATTCCGCTTTGGTCAGCCCTCTTCACCTGGAATCACACTGTGTCCAATTCTGGGTAACACAATTCAAGAGAGATACAGTATGGAGAGTATGTGCTGTGTGCTTTGAGGTCTCTCTCT